AACTCCAACAGAAGAGCCAGAGGCAGCAATTCCTGAAGCTAGTGATTGTCTTTTATTATGATATGAGTAGGTTATTGTGTAGGTAGCATTGAGCATTGTTCCGCTAGCTAGTCCATATACTACTCCATATAAAACATACAGGATTTTCAAGTCATGAACAAATGAGCTTGATAACAACGAGACAGCACAACAGAGACTTGCCACAATACAAACTGGTCGATGACCAAATCTGTGAGTTAACTTTGATGCTATTGGTCCAGCAAAAAGTGTGAATGCGATGGCAATGGATCCAGCCCATGCTATAAGAAAGGATTTAATATTTACAAAAATTATCATTTTTAGCTCGATTCATCAAATTGTTGGTCAAAGAGCAAAAGCATCCAGACGAACGTCAAGCTATGTGCAGAAAGTCATGCTAATTAGCATAACTCTCTTTGAATACCAATAAACTATAAACAAACACTTCATCTTGAGATCTCACTAAAAACAGCTTTAAAGATAGAGAGATCAAATATTTCTCTCAGTACAAACCCTTATGCACTAGTAAATTGAAACCCCCGACGCCCGGGGAATACCGGGGAATTTAACATTTGAGTGGTGTTAAAATAAGACATTTCCCCCGGTAGTCGGGGCACATTCATTATTAAAATCCCCGCTTCTGTTGCCCCGCTATTTTGGTCTAGTAGTAAATAACAAAACAAACACCTTTCAATCAAATTTTCTGTGATACACAGGGTTAATTTTTGTATAATCCTGTGTACTCATTTGCGTACTATACATGTGGCTAACTGGACGGAGAAAAACATGTGTAATAAGTTTCTTTTAAAAAAAATTCATGCAAGGAAAAATAAACAAATAAAAAAGCGGGGTTGAATACCAATGCTTTCAGGGTATTTCGCAAGATGGCGAACGTCTAGTTTCCAGCCTCATACATGTTCAAACGAGCGTTAAAATCCCCGCTCTTTGCCCCGCTTCGAAACCAATTCATAAAAATCCCAACCCCCCGGGGCAATCTTGCTGTTAAAAGCACATTAAAAACGCGTCACGGCCGCGTTCAGTGCCCCGCTAGCCCCGGGGGCCGGAGGGCGGGGGTTTCAATTGACCAAGTTTAATGATATATGATTTGTAAATTAAAGGTCTATTCATCAAATAATATATCATAACATTTATACCAGTTTTTTCCCTGTTTTCACTGAAGTAGTCTGACAGGATCGGAAGAAAGATGCCAAAACTTTGACTAAATCCAAAATGTAGAGCTGTACAAAGAGTCCCTAATAAACACACAACCCACGACCAAGAAGAATCTTTTTTCTTTGCTTGACAAATGGAGAACATCTTTGAAGCAGTACTTAAATTTTTATACATGTAGTGTTATGGAAATCCAACAGAAAGCTCAAGTCGAGAATCTGGATCTTTCGGTAACTTTATTCGACATGACACTGTAGATCGACATTTTAGTCTCCTCCTGGGAACGAACGTCCTAACGGCTGCGAGAGGAGACTACATACGATTGTACGGTCACAGGTAGCCCAAGCACTCGGCTTTTCTCTGAAGGTCTTGTGGGGAAACACGAAAAATTCAATAAAAGTAGGAAATCTTAATAAAAAGAATTCAAACTCCCACAATATGTTGTTCGTGATTTGAATGTAACTCCTTGTTGTTTACTTTTCATGCAATATTTAGCAGCTTTTGAAGGAGCTAGATGACAAATCTACACGGTAAACATCACGCAACGGAAGTACATATGGACGCAAAGAATGCAGACGTGACTCGTTCACTCTGATAGTCTTTATATGAAACAAAGTAAAAATATGGATAGACTTATTCTAATTGAAGTAATTTACATGTAAAGGTTTTAAAAGTATTAAACCACAACACAGTTAGCGAAGTGTCGGTGAAGTTGGCGCTGTGGCAACGATCTCAACAAGTTGGTTTATTTATAATCCCGCTCTATAAAACCATGATCGCTTCAATATTCATCTAGCAATACTCCTGCGTGAATATTAACATTATTTTCTTAATCCAGAAGAGACAGAATCCCTCATCAAACAAGATCAAATTCAGAATTTAGGCTATGCAACTTAGAATCAGATAGCCACGTTGCGGAATTCACTCAGCTACGTGAAGTATCGGTTTACATCTCGCCAAGGAAAATGCACTATTTGGCACGATACACTAAACCTTTATGACCTAAACCAATGTCATAATATATGCTCTTACACAGATGAATGTTTTGGAATAACAAAAGACCTCGAATATCAAAGAATTACTGTAAAAGCCAGGGGCGGATCCAGAATATTTAGAAAGAGGAGGCCGGTTACTTAAAATTGGTTTTGTGTCGCATCGACCGCCGAAGGCGGGAATAGGGTCCCGGGGGCATGCTCCTCCGAAAAATTTTGAAATTGAAACCGTCAAAAATGCGATTTCCAGCATTTTCAGTGATATTGACAAGGATCTTTTCATGTTTTTTTCTAGAAAAAGGGGGGGCCGCGGCCCCTTCGGCCCACCCCTAAATCCGCCAGTAACTCGCGAGCAGTTAACTGTTCTACTATGCGATTGTTTACAGCCGAGTTCGTAATGTGATATTTCGTATGGAGATCGGAGGGCGATCGGGAGACCAGAAGGCAAACTTCTGACTTAGAAAAAAACAAAAGAACAAAATTATACGCGCTGCATTTTACTCGTGACCCGGCAAAGAGTAACAAGGCTGAAGTGCACCAAAGTCGTTGTTGTACATTGCCGTAAATTTTGTGACCTTTTGCAAACTCGTGTTCTTCAACCCTCAAAACCGCGCGTTGAAGCTTAGTACCCGCGCCTCTTAAAATCGTCAAAATGGATGAATTTGGTTTTAGGCGAGATTTTCGGGGAGATTTTAATAGTACGGTATCGAAATCCCCACAGGCTGATGTAACGCACCAAGGTTTGACATAATACATCAGTGTGGACTATTGACCGCAGCCCCCACAAGTTGGTATAAAAGGTTCAGAGCAAAATAAACAAGATTTTAGGTTGGGCTACCTGTGGATCGAAGATCCAGACGTATTTGACCATATATAACTATGATTTGACATACCATACCATATCATACACCCTGGTTTATACATTTTATTCGCATAATTTTGAAATTTTGCTAGTCATTCATTCAGGTGACAATATCTTTTTAACTTTAAATTTCTGTGTTATATTGTTGGTTAATTTGTGAGATCTCCTTTTTATTCTTCTATGATAATTCTGATATTCTTATTTCGTGCAGAGGCTTTGTAAACGACTAATAATCTTTTCCATACAATGTTCAACAGGTTGAAGTTTCTACGAAAATGCCGATCATATAGCCTGCGTGCAGCCGAACAAAACTTGTTGTTATGTTCATAACAAGTTTTGGACATAACAAGTTTTGGTTCGGCTGCACGCAGGCTACCGATCATATAACATGATTAAAAAGTTCGTACCAGGCTTGGCCAAGCTCATTTCTACAAAAGTAAATTTCAATTGAAAAAAAAAGAGGAAACTACACTGGGATTAATATCGAAAGTAACGAAATGTCTTTCAACCGCAGTAGAATCATGATTTTTTTCAAGTGACGCAACATTATGTCACTTAAAGGAACGGCGTTTTGAGTTGGTCCATTTCCCTTTTCCCGACGTCATGTTAGTTKCGGCGAAATGCATCATGGTATTGATAAAATTACTAGTACAACATGACGAATAGAATGTCTTAAATATAAAAATGCGAAGGAAGAAGTTTCTGTGCGAAATTATCGCGGCGAAACAGTTTGAATTTAGTTTGTACTTTCCGGGTCAATCTCATAATGCACTTCACCGAAAATTGCATGACGTCACAAGGCGTGAAATGTTGATTTCAATGAGATGTTGCAATGTTGGAAAAGTGCATCAATACATCTTCGATTGTGTATTCCAGCGTGATCATGGAGCCTGGRTAACATCGGTTGATCAAATCACCAAAGTGTTTGTACTGTTCGATAAACTCTTTTTGCAATGAATTCCAAATAACCTGAAAAAGAGAATCCTTCGTTACTATTATAGGGAAGACAACAGGGCGGGTACATGCAAAAAAAATGCGATGCTTCTCAGCAATAGTACTTTAGTCACTGTTTTTCGGGATATAGTGGAAAAGACTCAAACAAACCAGGTATTCAAAATCAAAAATACCATTCAGCCCTTTTAAGTCTTTTAAATGGAGTCAACACACATGAAATTCGACGTCTGATCGATTCGCCAATTTTCAAATTAAGGCTCAAACCTGTAGTAAATTCTCTTCGTCGCATAAATGTTTTTCGACTTTCTTGTACAAGTGTTCTAAGGCTTTTTTGATCTGGGTGAAATAAATATAATAATCATCATCAACATCATTAGGATCATCATAATCATCATCACCATCATACAATTATCGCACCTCTTTTGATGGATACTCCTTGATGCATTTTCTCAGCTCTTGTTTGCTGAATGCTAACTGATATCCAACCTCTTCGGCCTTGACTCCCGCCGCGATCTTTTCCTGAACTCCCTCGAAAAAGATCTGAAACAAAACAAGATTTTTTTTTACGGAGAGCATAAAACGGATTTTGACGTCTGCTCATTGTAGATGTAAATCAATGAATTTACATGTCTCATGCGTCTGCCTATCCATCTGTCAATCACTAGATGAATCAACCCTGAACTGTGGAATAATTTGTATTTGCCAGTCGCAGAAACTAATTATGAGAGAMTATTACTGAAGCATGTCTTAGTCTCAAATCTTTAACCATTTTTTTCAAATAATTATCGGACAAGAAGGTGATAGCCTCCTCCGCATGGTTTCCTTTTAACCGGCTTTAAGACAGTTCACCCTAAACCCAGGAACATAGARGAATACGGCAGTGATGACTGCGGRGGAGGTGATATATTTATAATGTCTTACGCTAAGTTTCTCCATGGGTCTGCCCAACATATCCTTCACATATTCATTAAGACTGACACCATATTTCTCCTTTGCTTCGCGCTTTTCCCTTTCTAGACATGATATCTTGAGACGGGACAACACCCCTAAAACAGATAACAATAGCTAAATAAATAAATATCCTATCCTATGGTAGCTTAMAGTTGACAGAAGACTCAAAGAGCTAAACGTTTTCAATCAGTTTAACGTGTACTCTGTTTGACTATGGCGSAGCTTTCCATTTCGTTCAGCAGCATTCAAAGCAGCCAAAATCTGCTTTTTTCAAGGAGTCGGTACTTTGAACAGCAAAATACTGTAAAAAGAAGCGTTCCGATTGTACACTGTTTTCCTGAAATTGCTCTCAGATCTTGATGATGCATTTCTAATACTATACTGGTTGGGGGGAGGCGGGTTATGGTCACCTTTCCAATTATACATAGGTAATTTAGGGCTAAACTAAGTAAACTTTAGAGTTTAGGCTTGAATGAAATACTTACTGAACAGATGATGATAGTTTTCTGAAAGAAAGAAAAATCCATGAGAAAGCAGTCTTCATTTGTAGTAGTTGCCACTGTTGCACACTTTTTTAATAGGTAAATGCCAAAAAATCCACCAAGCAATTATATTAATGTAATACCAAATTTGCCTGTATCATATCCAGACACACTCACATTTTCCAKCGCAGATTATACAAATAAAAGTCAATGAATAGATTTTTCACAGGTGTTAGATGATAGATGATATCTGTAGTAGTTTGTTTCTCACCTAGCATGACAACAGCCTTTGGGCTCTTGAGGCTCTCCACGGCGACACGTTCAACGTTATCGAACACAACTCGAGTAAGTTGAATGTAAGCTTTATCAAGGTCAGTCCTCCGTTCAGCCGTCTTAAATATCCCTTCAGATATTTCTACAAACTCCTTTAAACAAAACAAGGTGAGATTGTTAGCAAACTGTTCATGTCACGTCATGTTCATGTCACGTCATGTTCATATCATATCGTTTTGGAAATCGTATTCAGCAAATAGCGCTCTGTTTAATTTTCTGTATCCTACATGTATCCTCTTTCCTTCTTTCCTTCCTTCCTTCCTTCCTTCCTCCTTCGCTTTCCGTTATTTCTCATTTCCCTATCTTTCTTTCTTTCTCCTTCACTTTCCTTTATTTCCCATTTCTCTCTCTTTCTTTCTTCCTTTCTCCTTCACTCTCTTTAATTTCCCATTTCCCTCTCTTTCTTCCTTACTTCCTTTCTCCTTCCTTTACTGTTTCACATTTCCCTCTTTTCCTTCCTTCCTTCCTTCCTCCTTCACTTTCCATTATCTCCCATTTCCCTGTCTTTCTTTCTTCCTTCCTTCTCCTTCACTTTCCTTTATTCCCAATTTCCCTCTCTTCTCACTTTGCTTCATGTTTCCCACTAATAATTTCTTAAATTATCCCATTTCTCGCCGTCTCAGTTCTTTCCTGCCTTTCGTTTGCCTTTTTTCATGACGTGTTTAGGTGCACAGGAGATTATACCAAAATGAAGTAAGCTGCTTTTTCAATACAACTTGGTTCACTATAATGTATCTCTTACCTCAAATTTCGCTACAAATGGCAGAATTCCACATCTTTTGTTTCTGTTGATTTTTGCTTCTTGGACTTGTCTGATAAGACCAGCCTGTTTACATACAATACAATCTATGTATAAAGCAAGCTACCATAGGTCAAAGAGCTTTTTATACCCAATTTATACTCAAAGTAAAGATAAAGGACCACGACTCCTATCATACTTTCTTCGCTGCGCATTGACAACTTCCTAGAAATATCGCTGCGCGCACTTTTGATGAAAACATGCTAGAGCGGATTTCGTATAAGTGGGACACCGTTACCGCACGGTTACCGCACGGTTACCGCACAGTTACCGGACCTGGCCTGCACAATTTTGGTGAACCAATGGGGCACTAGAATTTGGTTAMAGTACGATTACGGTCAYMGTACAGTACCGTCCGTTTCCCACTCATACGAAATCCGCTCTAGCAGATGCAATATTTTCTGAAGGGTCCATTTAAGCCGCGTGATAAAAAAAAACTTACGATAAACTTGTCAAATAATCGTTTAACGGTAATCAGACAATTGCCAAGTTGYTGACTGAGGTAAGAGACAGGAGCTCCTGATAGTTGGTTGGTAATGACATACTGACCGATGCGAACCAACATATACATCGTATTACTGAAACAGAAAAGGAATTGTTTAGACATATATAGAGGATATTACATGGGCGAGCGGAGATACGGATTTTATCTTCGAGTGTTGAAAAGATCTCTCACGAGTGAGCGTAGCGAATTATGTCGTAAAATACCTTTTTTCTTACTTCCACTATATAGAGAAACCTCGAATGTGAATGTTATTTTCACTAGTGAAGATATCAAGTTTACGAAATGGAGAAATATAGGTATTTCATAGATAATTATATGATAAATATATATACCTAATTGCAAAAGCGATGTACTCGAGTTTAAAGTTTTAGGAACATAGGAATCGGAACCGATTAGCCTCCTCCACAGACCAGAACCCATACCAAAGGAAGCCAGAAGGAGCAAAAAGAGTTGCCTGCATGGGGATGAGGTTAGGAACCTCAAACGGACTAAAATTTACACCACTGAAATTGAATGCGTTCTTTTGTATTTTGATAATTTCTTCAATCAAGTACAAAAGGTGTGATGGTGCAGCCAATTAACGAGCACGTCATGCACTAATTAACGTAACGAATCAGCGAGCATGATTTAAAGTCAATCAGCTTGCAGTATATTATTTATCAGACAGTTTTTAACCAATCAGTGGGAGTGTTATACATCTATGACATCATGTACTTACAAACTATCCAGTTTATCGCCAAACTGAATAAATGCGTGAAGTTCGTTGTCCAGAATACTAAAAAGGCCTTGCATTATTTTCCTAAAATATAGAAGTATCAGTTAAAATACATGTATTACCAGATTCACCGCAGACTTTCCTGATGCACGACGATCACTTACTGCTGTTGTGGATTCAGGAGGAGGGTGCAGGGGAGGCTTATTCGACAAAATGAACAAAATGAATCCTGAAATTATCAATATACAATACGACGAACACGTGCAACACTTACATACATAAATGCATCTTATTCTAGATTTATTATTTTAAACAGCGATTTAAATCTTATGTGTGTTTAAGGTGCGTTTATMACAGCTTAATTACCAATCTGATAGAGCTTATATTTTAAAACGTGGACAACACGACAACAGAGTGCTTCTATGATAACCAATCTTTATAAAGTACTCAATTTTTACTGTGCCGCCAAGTGAGATTTATGATGTATTTTAAGTGGAAGGTGTTTAAAAGTGCMATTTTTGGTTGGCTTTAATGACAACATACTTAATCTCTTCTCGTCTTTCAATCATCTTTCGTCTTCGGCTGTAAATCAACACACTTCAAAGTCATGTAAGGAAATAATGCATGCAGAGTTAGTAATACCAGTCAGTACAGTACATGCATTGTGCAGATACAGGACTGTTAATATTAATATTAGTTTCAGTATTTCCAACACGCAGGTCCAGTTGATCGGAACTATCAAGAATTTGTTTTCATTAGTAAACGTTACGTAAGGGGCATTTTCACTAATAAAGTAAGCAGAGACTGAGTGTGAAACGAAAGTCGCGCGACAGGAGAGGGAATCGCAAAAGATGAAGAATAACAAATGTAAGAAAAGAAGGGTTAAGTACAGCACTAGCTCTAGTATGTTTAAATGTGTATACAAGAAGGATCTGTCCGTTGTAGTTGAAGTTTGAGAGCAAAGTTGCACTCTTCAATTAAAAAATCATTAAATAGACAAACTATTACGCTTCCGTTCTGCTAACTACAGCACTTCTATGACTCGTTTTCTGTCTGTGCTTACTTCACTGCACATGCGCGCTCCTTTAAGACTGTCAGATAAGGAGTGAAGAGCGGTACGTTGAATAAATATGTTGGGTTAATACATCAGTTCACGTGTTGGTCAGTACTGTTGTCATTACTTCACTGAGTAAAGCATATTCTACAGAAATAACAAATCAATCGGGTTATCCTGTGCATTTTCCATTTAAAACTCACCACCATCACTCCTTTTATCAATRATAATCACTTTTGATTATTTGAAATCAAGTTTTATCGTCATCAGAAATCACTGACTTTGATTCATTTACAGATCAATCAATTTTTATTTCAATTTTAAGTACACCAAACACACACTAGACAACAATAACCAACAGAATGCAACACCCACTAACAACATACCTGACATCCTCACTCAGTTGCTTGCGTTCTCTGACATCCCTGGAATAATAGCAATAAAAAAAAATAAGAAAATTGAGTAGTAGACAGTAGTAGACACTACAGTCAACTCTCGCCTTACAGACACCTCGCTAGTACGGATACGAAATAATGAATCCCCGACAAGAAAAAATACAAAGAAATGACTGAAAGTAACTTCCTTTATTACGGACTCTCGCTACTGCGGACACTAAATTACGGTCCCGAGGGTGTCCGTAATAGCAAGAGTTGACTGTAGATCGCAAACACTAAAACGATGAAAAACTACTAACCAATGCATGGTGCTAAATAACGCAATATTATGTAGTGTAGATTAGACGATATAAAATGTGAAAAATTCTAAAATTTGGTAAGTACATGTATCCGTTGCTCTCATCACGCCCTTTTCAGAAAATGGTAACATCCCATATATTTGTAATGTTAAATGCTCTATTTCATTTAAAGCAGAAATACCGACATATAAGTTAACTTACCCAGARTGCGATTTACTCATATATGCACCATCACTTGAATCTCTTCCATTGAGTGAAGCYTCTGGTGTCTTCAGCAAAACAAGAGACATTTTAGGGAGATGAGCACTACAGTAATGATATGAATGGRTATCTTACCTCAAATTCATCCATTACAAGGTCAAAAAAGGTCTGTACAAATTCCTGTTCAGACGTACAAACTGGTTCCAGCTCAGACAGAAGAATATCAAATACCTGGATTGATCAGACAAAAGTGTCAAAAAGTAGAAACTCGGACTGTTTTCTTATTAGGTTTGAAAGCTTCAAATAAAAACAAGATGAAAATGAATTTAAAGRGACATAGTTTGCCAGCATTCAATGCGCTCGTGTTTTCGATTTTTCATATWTAGAAAATGAGTTGACTTCGAATATCCATTTGCAATCCGTTTCCATCCATCAGTTTAAAGGTCGAATCTTACAGTATCACCATTCATATAGTATAAAGGGATAATAAAGAGTTGTCTTGCTTATATTACGATGTATTTTTATTTTCAAACATGAGAAAAGCTCGAAAGTGATGCTGGTGGCCCATGTCCCTTTAAACAGAGCATTGACTAAAACAAACAGCAAGCAAACAAGATTTAACAAACAAGATCAAAATAACTTTACAACAACAATATCAAAACGAACTGAAACAAAAGTAAAACAAGCAAAACCACAATGAAAAGACATGAAATAACTACATCACAAAATATTCAATTTTGCACCAACCCTATCAAATCTGCCTCTAGTTTCCAAGGCTAATGATCCAGAATCCATAGAACCAACAGATCCTGACTGAGACGTGGAATCTGAAGCAGCAACTGATTCACCAGTATCTCGTCTGTCTCGCCCTCTGAATTTATGAGCCATTGGCCGTGGACTTGGGCGTGGGCTCATTCTTATTCCAGGTTCATCAACGTTTAGCTTGACACCAGATCCAGATCCCGTCATCTTGAAGGCATTATGAAGTGCTGAAAACGAGAATAATCAAAGTTGCAGCATATGAAAAACAATGAAATTTAGACCCAACAAGTTGCCATGTACGTGTACCCTGTGTGAAAAAAGAACTTTTGTTTCTAACAACTCAACTGTGAAATAAAAATACAACGAACAATGAAACTTACTTCCGTGTGGTTCGAATTGGATGGAAATGTTTAGCAACACATTAGTCGATTAATAAGTCTATTAATATTTTATTATTCATCATATCAACAAGAGTCAATCTGTAGAAACTTTAATTGGGCATATAGGTATAATCTAGCTTGCTATACTACTTACATCTTGAGCCTTTGGATACAGATCTTTGCCTGGCTGTCTCAAAACAGTCTTTTAGTTGTCGTTCATAGATTTTGCTCAGTGACTGGACATAATCCTGAAAATGCAAATTTACCAGTTGAGAGTTTTAAAATACTGCACTGTCAGTGAAGACCACACATCCATTGCTTAAACAATCAATCAAGAACCAAAAGCTTACCAAGCACAGCTCCATGAAGATATTTTGATCAATAGATTTGAGCCATTTCATCAAACCAGCATAGGGCAGCAGTTCTTTGTGGCAGTTGAGATGTTTGGGAAGATGTAGTTCACTTGAGTGCTTTGYAGCTAAATCAATATCCTGACCCTGATGGTACGACATTTTATGACATATTATGAGTAAATTAAAATAGAAGAATACATCCTTCCTCCTTCTAAAACTCACCCAACTACATTGAGGAGGGAATGCCTTCTGATTAGAGTGAAACTAATCAAAACACACAGGAAGGGTGCTAACAGAAAAGTACTAAATAGCCCAAGAAAGTGTAGAATAATCAATAGAAAACAAACCAAAGGAATTCATGTCATCACTCAGTACAATTTACCATTAAAAAAAGTTTAAAGTTTAAAGTTTTCATGGTTTTAGTGTTTTTATACTCTAGTATTTAATATGTGCTTCAATAAGTGTAGCTTACATGTTGATGAAAAATCCCTGCCAGATGGAGTTTTAACCTTTGCGCAAAATCTCTACTGATCTGTTCAAATTTGACCTGCTGCTGTTTTACAGCTTTCATTTTACACAAAGCTGAAAAATATAAAAMATATTCTATGTGAATTATCTAAACAGAACAAAATTAGTTTTRTGCTTTATTTACCAGGTGATATTTCTGCATTTARAGAATTAAGTATGGCATTAGCTGCTTCTGTGCATTCTGTGACTGCCAGTCCTTTGGAAAGATCTCCTTCTTGTAAAGCAAGAATGTGTCTCTCAGGAATGTCAAGACTTTTCTRTAAACAGACAAAACAATCAWARTCATTCAATATACATTTAAGMTCACCATGTAATACATGTACKCTCTTTTTAAGATCCACRTGCATCTAAAAACCTTTGTGTGTTGCGTATTGCAAAGGTTATCATGGCCCAAACGGTAGCTAATATAAAAATACAAGTATGTAAATTTGGGACTTTCCTTCTTAGTTATCATTAAAATGGAAAAAACTTGAATTTTTTTCCATAAAAATGTGCAAGAATTAGACAAGGAACTCCTCTTTACGACCACGCTCTTAAGAAGTCCACTTTGTTATAGCAGCTAGATAATTATGTCCTGGCRAATTTTAAAAACTCTCATAATGTTATTTCCAGTAAAAACTTATAACCTTTTCATGTACATACCACAAGGAATGTCACTGATTGCAACAGGTTTTGCCTGTTAGTGCTTTCTGTCTCCATGTGTCTGTCTTTGTCCTCCATTTGCTCCATTTGRTTACGTACTTTCTGCACAGAAACATTCAGAATGTGCTTCACACAAACATGGAAATCTCTATWCAACATTATTTAATTGTATGATTATSAAYGGATCAAGGTGTTGAATGACTGTTYATACAAAACCACAATTGTAGAAGATTTGAATAGAAAACTGATTCACAAGCTCGAAGCATACAACGAATAGTGGACTAAGGAGTTTGGTCCAGTAGTGACYGYCCTGCTKAACTCAMTACCCTGCTATTTATGTCAGTTAATGTCGAACAGCCGTTAAAATTGCAYTATCTAAGATATTAAGGCCTGTAMCTATACTGTCCAGGAGSACAATATKACAAGTCACTGTTACCTGTATTGTTTCATCATACTGGGATAGCCTAGAATCTAGTTTGTCAAGTTCTACAAGGGCACATTCTAGTAGCTCCATCARACTGTTGACTTGATCTTCTGATGCCATGATAGAATGGATGTTTGCCTAGTACATATAGAATAATATTACTTAATGATTGACTTACTGATTGATTGTTTGATTGACTGGCTGGCTGTCACATTAATTGATTGAATGATTGAATGATTGATTGATTGATGAACTGAACGAAAAATAACATGAGCAATATGTAGAGTGATTTATTGTACGGGAGATACGGAACGAGCGAAAAACGGACTTTGCAAAAAGTCTAAGTGATTTATACTGTCTCATAATTCATATCCTGATTGATTGATAATCTATTGTCTGGATGATTGACAGGTTTACTGTTTTTCCTGATTCATTGATGGGTTACTGAAACTGACTGAACAATATTGACTTAAATTGATATTCGAGTGATTGAAAGTTTCTCTGACCGACTGACTGTCTGATTGATTGACTGATTGGCTAATTGATTGATTGAGTAATTGATTGAATGATTGATTGATTGATTGATTGATTGCATTGTTTTATTTTTTTGCTGGTTTGATTTTGGTGCAATGAGACTATAACAATTATTATCTACTAACCCCATCTAGGACAGACAAATCTTTGGACAACTGYTCAGTGAATGCTTCAAGGTTGCTGATTGAGTTCTCTGTTTGTGACATCATGTGTTCTAGATCACCCTCTTCTCTTTGTGTTAACTCTTGGTAATCTTCAACTACAATTCATATGAACAGTACATCAGTATATATATGCAATATAGCACACCATAACTGCCGTCACCATCAATATTTTCCCTTACAATGAGTTATGTTTCAAAAATTATATTTTGCTTTACTAAAATCTTCAAAATTTAAGGAAACACAACATATAAGTAGCTGATTTAATTCATGATGTTTCGGGGTCATCGTGACTCCATTATCAAGTGATACAAAATGAATGATAATAAGTACAAATATATAATATAAGTTTTTGTTTTTTCAAGCAACTACTTATAAAATCTTCAAGCTGTAATAAAAATCAATATCATCATGATTACACTAAATCCAGACAATAAATCAACTGAATCTTATGTGAATTATGAGATTCATTCAAWCTGACTAACCAGTGACTCCTTCTTCTGTATGTGGTTGGATTCTCCCACTCTCACCAGCATGAATAGTCTCTGCAAAAAAAGGTTGCTGTTTGTCAATTTTAATTATTTTATTATTTGATGTTGTCCTTCACACCATCACACATCTTGGTTACCAAACAGTTGTGTAAAAAGTTAAATTTAACACTGTAAAAAAAGTGAGGTGAAACAACTTACTGTTGCTAAGTTATTTTACCTACTTTTTTTACGGTGTAAAATCTATTTAAACAACTGTTTCTTTGTTCAGCGACTCAGGTCACACTAGTTTAGGGGTATAGAATGCTGTCTCAGAAATCTTGAGACTCGCCCGAAAATTCCCAAGGCTCGCAAGCTCGGCGCTTAAAAGAAACGGGATCAGATTTAAAATTGGTTTTTGGCTCGGAAGCTTGCAATTGCAGAAATATCAGACTCGTTCTGCCAAAGGCTTAGCCTCAAAGTTTAAAATGAGGAGCTTGCAGGCTCGGCAAGGCTCAGATTTACCATTCGATACCCATTAGTTTACTGCTAGTTGCCACCATCTTGGTTACCAAGATGACACAGGAAACAATGACGAAGACTACTGCAACATTTTGATCACAAAAAGATCYGCCTTACCTTCTATGAGTGCAGTATTGATATTATAAATAGTAGGTTTTCTTTGTGTTGGATATCTTTCACAAAGCTTTAAGTAAAACAAAAGCAATAATTACATTATTCTAGTTATAACAGTTTGATATCCAAGTTTTGGTACTGCCCAATTAATACTGTATTAAAGTATTATAATTTAATTATTTGCTGGCAAAGATGCATGAATAATGTATTATCCAAAATAACTCCAAACTTTTTTAAATTCAAGAAGACATCAATTAATAAAATAAGTTTAAKTACAGAAAATTACAGAAAAAAATTACAGAATTAAAATTACAGAATTACRGAAATCRTTGTATCGCGACCTCTTTGTTTTGAAGTTTGTCTGGATTTTATTCTTTCTGTCAATCTGAGGGSCGGAGCTTTTCAAAAACTCGTTCAATCATTGGCTGATTAGTATCAAGCTCTGCCCCCGAGTCGCAGAAAAACCTAAATCCCAACTATTTCGTTTGAACATTGAAGTCGCGATGCAACGGTTTCTGCTGTAATATAAGATAAAATTCTATTAAGTTACATTTATTTTTTATTGTATTTGCAGGGTAAAGGTGGTCTATTCCAGAATGACCCTACTAGTAGCTACCACATAGATGTTGTCAATGAAAATTGATAGAAAATTTTAGATGCAGTTTAACAGGGGCAGGGAAAGGAGAGCATTCCACAAGAATACCATTTTGCAATCAAGAAGTGTGACCTTGCAATATTGAAAGCTCAGGCAAAAATCAAGGCATAAATGCATGTATTWCTAGATTAGCAGAGGTCATAATTTACCTTGTAAAGTCCGGTAATAAAGTTGAACTTTTCTGCTGGGCTGCTTGCAACCCATTTGTAGGTCTTTTCAAATTGAAGGTCAAAATCTGGAGTTTCCTGATAGAAGYAGCAAACAAAGGTACATTAGTCACCAGGTTTATTGGGTTGGGTCAGATTATTTGGGAGGGTAACTGATGTTTGCAACTGTTTTTCATTTACTAGTATATTATTCTTATTCAGACTATAGTCATGTGATAGAAATATCCTACAGTACAATATTAATATGTTATTTCCAATTTATCCGGTACCTTAGTGGCATCTTTCCCATCTATGATCTTTAGGTCTCTAAATCTCCATGATGCCTTTTTCTTGAATGTGTCCTTGTCGGTCTTCTTTACTTGGTAAATGGAGACTGTCTCAGGTTTGTCAATTGTTACTGTAAATAAAATACTGAGATACTTTACCAATAGTACAGAGTCTACRGACAAGTACACAAAGTCTCTAAGGGAGTTTGCCTAAGAACAAACACATTACAAGTGTCTTTGACAAGGTTTAAAATGTAAAAACCTACATTGTTCACTTAACACAAGCATGTTTAAAGGATGAGTTTGAAAAGAGCTTATTTGCTAAGCTAATTAGTATAATTAATCCWATACTGCACATTCAGACAATGCAGTCTAAAGGAAGCAGCATGGTGAGCAGAATGTTGTTCTCACAATCTGGCAGTCCCAGGTTTGACAATTAGTTCAAATTSAGTTCCTYGGCCATTCTTGTAATATAGCAAACTGGTTTGCCWCCTTGCTAGCTGTGATTCTTATCTACATTCTTCACTGCACTTTAAATAAAATAACTTTCATATTACGYGCGCTCTGATTGGCCAAAAAGCCGTGTTTGATGAGAGCATAATACACGCTCGCATCATTTTTTTTTCT